GAGGTGAATTTGTTTACAGAGCAAGAACTACAACAAAACTACAGAACCCTTCCACGTTCTATATGTACCAGCACTTCCCTCCCTGGCTCAGTATATTCTGCTGTGACTCATGTGCCGCGTGGGCCGGGAACGCAGCAGAGATGTTCTCTGTTTCCTGGGATTCTCCTGTGTACGACTCCTCTCCAACGCAGCGCTGTGGAGCCGATTCGTGTGCAATCCCCCCGGCCAGCGGCTCCCAGCGCCGGGGAGCAGCACGGCTGGTGTGTGAAAGCAGGAGCGCGTGCTGCAATGAATCACATGTGCCAAGGTGGGACTGCGAGGGCGCGGGGACGGCGTGACTCATCTGCCAGCTGAGAGGGAGCGCAGCTACTGCTGAAGCCAAGCGCTGTGCCGCCCTGCGCACCGCGCGCAGGCAGAAGCTGTCACTATGCAGGAACCTGGGGGCAGAAGGAACCTCCCAAACGTGGGGCTCGTGCAGCTCACATCCCTGATCACCACATGGAGCCACAGACGCTCTGAGGAAAGCTCAGCCCTGCACTGCTGCTGGTCACTGCCGGCAGGCAGCACTTCCTGGCCTCGGTGAATTATTCAGTTGCATAGAAGCAAGAGACCAAAAAGCGGTTTCCTGTGTGCTTGGAGACGTTTTTCAGCCACGATCACATCCTCAGAGAGAGGAATGGGGCTAAGAGCAACATGGGAACGTCACGCAGCAGCGGGCTCCCCACCCCCAAGGAAAGCTGGCTGCACAAACCGAGGGGGCTTTAGGGAAACAGTAGCTCGGGCTTTGCAATGATACATCCATGCACATATCTCAATGACGTTTGCCCCGGCTACTCAGCACAGCAAGGTTTAGAGGAGGAGATAAATCTTGTTGCCCTCCAACCAAAGCTGGACAGCAACAAAGCTTTTGGACAATGCTTGCCTCAAGGGCTGAGCCTTTGGCTTCCATTTCAGGTGAGCTGCATTGCAAGCAAAGGCAGCAGGACCAGGAGAGACCTCAGCTCTGTGGCTGCACAGGAACACAGCAGAGCTTCAGACACCTCTGCAGCACATCAAGCTGTGTGGAATGGCTTCGAGCTGTGTCTCCAGGAGAAATACAGAGGTTCCAAACTCCCCCCGGTCTATAATTCCCGCTGAAGTAATGACTGGTGTTTAAAGATGTCCTAAGACATCTCTACGTCCACTTGTATTAGCCCATCAGCTCCCAGCAACTTAACTACGGCAGGAAACACAGCAGTGCTTTAACTTTTCAAATTCAAAGCACTTTCTAGCAGTGATGAGATCGGGAGGATCCATCTTCCAATACAACAGGCTTGAGCAGTGCCACGTACCCCATCACCATCCCAGATCGTGATCAGAGCAGTCAGTAAACAAGAGAGTCCAGTATCTCCACACCCAGCTGGCTGGAACTGCCAGCAGATACAAAGGAGGAGCTGCTGCAGATTGCTGCCAAAATCCAAGTGACGGGACAGAGATAAAAACATGGCCACATTCTCCTGCCCTAATATCCACATTACACATAGGAAAGAGCAGGTCAATCAAAAGGCTGAAGACTGAGTAAGACTGGGAAATAGAGGCACTATTTTGTTGATTAGAAAAAAAAGAAAAAAAAAAAGAATTCCCAGTAAAAATTTTGGAGAAGTTAAGTCTCCCTGGTAAGTCTGTAGGAGTTTAACCTGAAGGAAAGGTGAGAATGTGGAATTCACCTGAAATAAGACTGAAAAGAACCCTGGGATGCTGCTGTGTGAGCAGGGGGCAGCTGGAGCAGAGCAAATGCTTTGTCCGGAGAGCTGTGATGACCACATCCCCAGAGGCGCCCAAGGCCACATGAAGGCCCTGTGCAGCCTGAGCTGGTGGGAGGCAGCCAGCCCAGGGTAGTGCTGGGGGGGCTTTAAGGTCCCTTCCAACCCAACTCATTCTGGGATTCTACAATATGATTCTTTTATGCCTCCTGGTAAACAGCACAGGAAACACAACCATCTTAAGGAGCTCAGAGCTGGGTCTATTCGGCCATGGTGAAAGTAGCCCCGTTCTGCTCTGCCAACACCAGCCTTCTCCACCCCAGTACTTACAGAGAATCAGACACATCAGCCTGCAAGGAGATGATGCTCCTCCATGCATCATCTTACAAGTAGAAGGGCCTGATGATTCCCTACAGACATAGCAGAGGCAACAGGAGACACAGCAGCACCCTGTCAGGTCAGAGGTGAGCTCGCCTTGTGCCCGAGGTGTGGAAGAAGCAGACCTCGCTGGCTGTACCAGCGCTGAGTTTTGGGAATACCCATCATGCTTGGATGTACGTGGACAGCTGTGCCATTCACATTAATTCACAGGTAGCTGCTATCCAGCATGAAAAAAATAAAATAAAATCAGGGCTGACACAGGCATCCTTGGCACCAGCAGAAGGAGACACGCAGCAGGCAGCCCCGGCCAGAGGCTGGGCAGCAGGATGTCCATGCACATTCATCTGCAGTGTACAACAAAGAACCACTCTGAAAGAGTTTTTTGTTGGCTTGTTTGTTGTTTTCCCCCTTGTTTCACTGCTTACGTTAAGGTATAGCAGTCATACACTATTTTAGGCTGTTAAATATTTAATTCCACAGTGAGACAGAAGAAACAAGCAGATGGTCTCTGCACAGCAGGTCCCTGCCTCTTCATTCAGGGGCAGGAAAGTTAACTGAATAACGAGGAAGAACACATCCTTATTTCCAACAGCTGCCATGTAAACCCTGGTGCTGTGCCAGAGGGTAGAAAAAGAGCTGAGGTCAAACAGAGCAGCTCTTGGGCACTGGCTGCCTCTGCATCCCCACTGGTAAATCAGCTTCTTGTGAACACATCTAATTATACACACCAGAGACGAACTGTATCATTATAGACACTCCACAAGAATGTTCCTATCTGATCCGTGGCAAGCTGGTCCCTTCCACACTAACTTCTATGATTTAGCAGTAATGTACTTCAGAAGAGTTGAAGCTTTTGAAGCAAGGACCTTTCCAGGGAGTGTGGCATTAAAAGCATTGCCGAGATCAATCCAACTATTTCTCTAAAGTCAGCACATATGCAGCACCAGCTTGTTTTTGCAGAGGATCTTCCCCGAATTCTCAGCTTGGTGTGCACATATCAAGAGAAGACTCCATGATCCTGGCAGTCTGGCTCCACTAAAATTTGTTTTGTTAAGCTTCCAGATTTTGTGGAGACAGAGATACGGCTCACATCCTCCACCCTAAACTCCTGGCCTGTTTGCACCTGTTTCAGCAAAACACAAGAGCTTCTAATGGCATCCAACAGGTTGGCGGAGCAGAGTTTGTGATCCTGTGGGACCACACAGAGGAAGAAAGAGAAGTCATGTCCTTCAGTTCTCCTAACACACTCTTGGCAATAAAAACAAAAGTTGAGATGGCAGTTATCCCCCCATGGAACGATGAGAACAGATCCTAAAGGCAAGATTCCCATGTCTGTTCCACCAGCATGCAAAGGACCAGGCAAGGCAGAAATCTGGGTGAATGTTGTAGGATGAAGGTTTAAATTCGTAAGATTGTTTTCTCCTGCTTGACAGGAAATGAGCTATAGTAAAACAAACAAAACACCTTCATGTAAGCACAGTAAAGCCCCCTACATTCCATCGGTTTACAAATTTCTCAGTAATATCTTTAAAGAGAGGTAGAAAGCTGGAAAGTGGAGAAAAAGCGTATTGGGATTTGAGCCCACCAAGAGAGTCACTCACTGGGTATGCTGATGCAAGCATCAACAAAACTCAATCAGGGAAGGAAAGGTGGAGTTAGATGTCTCACAGTGTGAACCTGTGTTTGACATACTCACTTACAAAGGCCACAGCAGAAATGCACTAAGTCTCAAAAGCACAGGGAGCTGGAGTTAAGTGCTGATGGCATTAACCTATCAGCTTTGTGTGCAACAGGATGCAAATACCAGAATACAAAGTGCACAGACAAGAGCACCGTATTTCAGTGATAAGTTCTGTTTAAAAAAAAAATAAAACAACAAGAAACAAAACATCACTTCAGTATTTCCAATAGTAATAGCTCACATTGCTCCTACTACCAGAATTTGCATGCTAAAAGAGGAAAAAAGTCATTAAAAAGTGCAATAGCATCTCAGCCACCAGAGGACAAAATTCAGGAAACTAATTAGAAGAACTAACTCAACAAGCAAAATAAAGCTGCGTGATGACTGCTCAGGTCCCACGTAGCATGAACTCAGAGCAGGTCTTTCACTTTCTTCAACTTGGTATTTTGTTGGCGGTGTGAGAGCACATCCTCTGCAAGAGGAAGCTGTGCCATCCAGGCTAAACGGCACAAAAAATCAGGAGTGTAAGAAAAACAACAATCCTCACTAACACAGTAATCATTTTACTAATGAGAGATTCTAGGTCTGAACGATTATCCAATTATTACCGCGATATTCTGACCAAAACTTCTCCAAAAGCACGTGTGGGAATAAAATAATCTGCCCCAATCCCACAGAATCACAGGGGTTGGGAGGGATCTCAAGAGATCATTGAGTCCAAGCCCCTGCTAAAGCAGCTCCTACAACAGGTCACACAGGTCGGTGCCCAGACGGATCTTGAATATGTCCACGGAAGGAAACTGCACCACCTCTCCGGGCAGCCCGTTCCAGCGCTCCGCCACCCTTACCATAAAGCAGTTCTGCATGGCACTGCAGAGCTCCCTGCGTTCAAGCTCTAGGCCGCTGCTCCTTGTCCTGTCACTGCACACAGCCAAGAAGAGCCTGGCCTCACCCATTTGCCTCCCACCTCCCTTCACATATTTACAAATATTTATCAGATCCCCTCTCAGTTTTCTTTCCCCCATGCTGAACAGACCCAGGTCACTCCACCTTTCCTCATTAGGGAGACGCTCCATGCCCTCCAGCATCAGGAAATCAGGAAATTCTTGTCAGAGATGCACAACACACACGATGGTAACGTTTGACTGCATAAAGAAATTACAAACCTCCTATAAGCTTAAGGCAGGCTTACTTACCTGCACTTCCAAGCTGTTTGTAAAATCTGTATTCTAAATGGAGTTGTGGTGCACGTGATTTTATTGGTTCCTACAAGAGAAGAAAAAAATGCCACCTGAAATATTTTGACTGAAAAAGGTACTTAAAGTTCTGTGACCATAAAGACTGCTTCACGTTTCAAGATAAAACGCCTTAGGAGTCTAACAATAGACTTCATCATTAGACATCATTTAAATAAACACAGAACGGAAAGTAAAAGCAGGAAGACTTGCAGTATGCACTCTGGAGGAACTTTGCTGGAAGCGCAATAACTTCCTTGTTAAAGAGAAACTGAAAACAGAGCTCATCCATGGACGTGACATTCAAAACTCGTCCATCAAAGCTGCTGATCCTTGCAGGACGACGCTGACCAGGCAGGACAGAGGCAGGAAAGTCATGGCTGAGAAAGGTTAAGCCACAAGTTGAGCCTATGGACTTACGTCTGCCCACAGTGCTGTTGGTCACTAACCTGCATTTCTGTGACACAGTGAGTCATATGCCGTGCCTGGAGTTGCATAAAGGCGTAGCACAGCAGCAAGCTCAGCAGAGATCTGATAGAAACACAGGAGCAAGGCTCCTCCTTCACTGGCAGGTGCCATTCAAACATTTTCAAGCACTCAAGAATATTCTGTTTTTACACACGGGATAAAAAAAATGGATAAGCCTGCAACGCACCCAAACCAGCACATCTCTCAACTGCCACTTCACGCACAAAACTTAATGCCTACGATCTACAATGCATTAACATGCATGATTACAGAGCTTCTAAAAAATATGAGCTTAACATGGAGAGGATTAAGAGACTTGAGTAATTACATTTTCCATAGAACTGCACCTGGGGTAGCCAATGATGCGGACTGTTCCAGCCTCAGCTTATGCTGCTGTTCTCTTCTGTACAAGAAGACAAATGCTGCGTGCACAAACCACATGAAATCCATCCAATGGCACCAGCACCAGTCTGAATCTCAAACACTTGCTGAAAAGCCCCAAAGCACTGCTACACATCAGCTCCATGAGTTACAGGAGGATGCTCAATGGAGTCAGGAGCTTGTGCTGGCACCTTCAGCATGCTCAACTGGCTCTTCAGCCTGCACAGGAGACTTGAAGCTTCAGCAGATCCCTGTCTTATTTCGTTTAAGATTAATGCCCACGTTTGCTACAAATTTCACCTTAAAGACTTCAAGTCAAAGAGCCATTTTTGTACAGGAATTCAGCCAAGAGGCCTTCCAGCCAAGCTGTTCAGCACTTGTTCAAGTTATTCCCTCTGTAGCCAGCAAGGGGAATATCACTCCTGACTGCTTCTCGACTATGCCATTTACAAGGTTCAGCAGTGCAATACGGCCAACTACTTAAAAAACACTTCAAAAACCTTCACTGAAGGCAAATACAAAGAAACACAAAGCCCATTGCTACACAAGCCACAGTTAAGTGAAAATAACTGCCAACGTCAGTTTAAGACTTCAGAGACCTCCACAGCAAAGGGATTTAGGGCAACAGGAACTCAAGTCTATTCAGTGTGCAGTTCATCTGTTCCAGCAGGCAGAGGGACTAATGTGTGAGGACATGAGGCTGCTTGTGACAAGCAGGGCGAGACATGCCTGAGCCTCTCTGCATCAGGAGCAGCTCTGGACACTCGCCCACCACGGCAGCTTCCAAGCAGATCGCAGCACAGCAGATGGTTGTTCTGCAGGCCAAGGGCTTAGGGGTGCTGGCAGATGCTGCATTTGTGCTGAAAAGCAGGGAATTGCTGCTGCCTAGCATATAAAACCCACGGCTCAAACCGACAGGCAGCAGCAGCAGCTTGGTAGAAACTCCTGCCACGTGCAAGTCAGCATTAAAAGCCCTCAATAGTTTAAGCCAACAAACACAGCTAACGCACGGCACGGCAGCTCCAAAGGACCTCAGGCTGAGAGCAGGAGCTGCACGGGGACCCACGGTGTCAGAGCACAGGCAGTGCTCCCCGCTCACCGAGGTGCAGCACACCTCGCAAATCCGCACCCCAAAGACAAACCAACAGAGGTTAGCACAGAACGTCACAGCATTTTCTGATCAACCCTTTGGCATCTGCAGAGTAATTCTCTAATTTGCCCTCCATTCATCTTCAACAAGAGGAACAAAATGCTGAGACAGCAGGGCTGCAGTGCAGGAGAATCTCAAGCAGCTCAAAGGATTTGAAGTAGAGTTTTGAGTTGGAAAAAGTAGGAAATGTTGCCTTCAGCGCAGCAAAGTCGGACACTAGTCTGCAGATTACCTGAAGGATACAGAATATCTTTGGAAATTTATCAAGTTGCTACAAAAAAGTTAAAAACAAGAAGAAAAATGCAAGTATTCCCAAGGGAGGAAAGGAAAACTATTTACAACAGTTCTTAGTCTCAAGCTTCCCTGGCTTTTTTGTTCCCCAAGAAAATTACATGATTTAATCTATCTTGGTAAACACAATATAATTTAGAAAAACATTTGAAAAGCTGGAAGATTTCTTTTGTCCAAGTCTCAGAAAGGCACACAGACAACAGCACTAAGTCAATTTGTTCATTAATTCCTTGCATCACATTATCCGGATCTGAAGTAGGGCTGCCTCAAAGCTCTGCCTGTCGAAAGAAGCACTTCTTCCCTTTGTATCTTTGAAAGCCAAATCAAATTAGAAGCATTATCGATTCAATGGCACAGCCAGTCTGCTCGCACAAGTGCATTTTCTGTTGTCAGATCTGCCCACAAAGAAAGCTACACAACAAGCGCCGGCCCTTCCTCCCGGTCTGGCTCCATCCCCAAACATCCTGCAGCTGTTATTCAGTTATTTTAGGGAATATCTTCTGATATTTGCCAGCACGCTTCAAAACGAGTCCCTCCTGCAACGTGCTAATTATTTTTCCATCTACTCTGCACCATATAAAGGGAACACCAGAGATGTAGGATCTGCGGCATCTGAACACGAATCAGAATTAATGCACCAAGTCCATCTTGATCTTCTGTAACACCAATGACTCCTGTCATTTTGCCAGACACGGGCTGGGAAAACAGGCACGCTTGCTGCTCATGTCAAATCAGCATTACAACTTTAACTTCAAATTCTAGGGTTTGGATCTGTGATTAAAGAGCACAGAGATGAGAAAAGAGCACTGCGTATTTTCAGCAAAACCCCAAGCAACTAATGAAAGTTTTAGTTTACAGGCAGAAAAAGTGAAGGCACTGACTCCTGGGGTGACTTCAGAAATCTGGCAGAGAGTTAGAGAGCTTCCCCACGCCCAGGACTCCTGCTAACAAAGGTGGCTGCGTGTCCTTGGATGTCTGAGTCCGTGAGGGGAAGGCCTGACCTTGGCTGGATTGGAGCTCGCTTTGCTTGTTGCATTCACATGGTCACAACCTGGAGAATCAACGGGAATTCAGAGCAGAACAGCTCAGCCCTGGGGCTTGGAAGGGGTGACAGACCTCCACCAGGGCCGTCCCGTCAGGAAGGAGGTGATCACAGCTTCTGACAGACCAGAAACACACAGCAAGAGAAGGACTGGGAGCTGCTCTTTTTCAGAGCTCTGCAAGAACTTCTCTGTTCATCTCCATTCACCTGGCTGGGATTGAGCACGCCAAGTGGGGAAGCTGCTTTTTCCTCTCGGTTTCTAGCACTAGGTACAATGCATTTCAAAATACCCAAAGCTTCCACTTACCAGTTTGATCGCTACATATTCGTTGGTGTAGAGATTTTTGCCTGTGAAGAAAGAAAGACATCTTTTAGTTGCACAATAGAGACAACGCTGAGGAGTGCCATCGGCTGCAGAGATCTGGCTTCTCAACTACCCTCTCAAATTCAAATTCATGCCTCCAACACAGTGCAAATCTCAAAACCAGGGCAGGCGCTACCTTTCATTCAGCATAAGGTAACTGTGTTTTATGGCAGCACTTCTGTTTGGTACATCTGAGGAGATATCCCAGGCACACTTGTTCTCTGCATTATCATTAAAAAAAAAAAAAAGGGGGGGGGGGGGAAAGAGTTGATTCTGCTGGACAAAAAGCAACTTCATGCTGCGATCTATAGGGAGTTTCACCAGCGCAGTTGTGCAGCGTGTCAAAGAGATTGCTACAAGGAGGCAAAGAAAAGAACTTGTGTACCAACAGAGCTTTCATTTCTTCCTCTACAAACAGGCAGGCAGTGTATGCAAAACGCCTTCTTCGGGGCAGCAGCACAAAGGCAGTCCTCCTCATGGAATAACGCCCTCAGCTCAGCGCAGGAGCAGCAGAGCACACGGCTGCTCCCAGGAGTAACACAGCACTGAGAACAAAAGTCATTCCTGTGACCCCCAGCACGCAGCAGTGCTTGGTCTGACACAGCCCTGGGGAGGAGGAATGCCAAGCCCTAGGATGGGTTTAACTAGGCAAGCACACTGCCTTACCCTCACCCTTACAACACTTTTTTTGTTGTTGTTTGTTTGAAGGAGACCCCATCATTTCTTTAGATCTGTCATTAAAAGCTGGTGAAAGTCAGCTGTGCGGATGCATGGGGAATGTGCAAACACTGGGAGGTGGCACAGCCTGGAGGAGCCTGGGGACAGAAGCAGCAGACAAGCAGGTGGCAGGACAAAGAGCAGCACCTTCCCAGACGGTAAGGACCCTGGCCTGATGCTACCCAAGGGCTAGCAGGGGGAAATCTGCTCAGGCATTAAGAGAAGGCAGCCTAAATACACTTGGTTATCTGCTCCCTGCTAGCAACCAGAAATGAGTCACATCAGCAGCTCCAGCTGTAGCTCGCCCACAGACATTTCTCCCTCCCCACTCCCAGGGGATTGAACTCACATTGAGAAGCACGATTTGAGGACGCTGGGCCATAACAGGGGAAGCTCCAGCCCAAGTAATGAGAAAGTCATGTGCTTTAAACTGCAAGACAGTTTTGATAAGGCCGTTCCCAGCTAATGCAATCGAGATGATCCAACTAACTTTTGTGGTAACAAAAGCCCCTCAAGTTCAGGCAAAGCTTTTGATGGGGCAGCAATAAAGTCCATGCCTCAGTTTTGAGCTGTTCCACATCCAATGAAGATCTACACATCCTAATGAGGAGCGAGTTGTTAAGTCACCAGCGCTCACACAGGAAGCCTTGCAGTGCGCGTTTCCCTAGCAAAAAAATGGCTCAGAGCGTGGATCCACCTCTAAGCCACTCTTACCTACCCCACTGCTGAGATTCCAGGCTGAATGTGGCTCTGGGCAGCCTGCTCTGGTGGTTGGCAACATAGCAGGGGGGTTGGAACTAGATGGTCGTTGTGGTCCCTTTCAACCCAGGCCGTTCTATGATGCTACGATCTTTGGCCAACCCAAGCACGTCTCAGACCAACCCCTGACTTCAGAACACTATGCAACTTCTCCAGGTATGGCCCTTCTCTTTGGTGCAGTAGCTTATTGAGGGGATAGAACCAGCAGACAGGGACAACTCCCCAAACATTGTTTCAGTCTTCCCTCAAACCAGGAAAAAAGCTACTTTCACTTTTTTAATGTAGAGTTTTGGAAGTGCCAGGTTATGTTTGCACTGGAGCAAAAAGATCTGGGCTCCACTCTTTCCATGGTTCAGATGTTAAGTAAATACAGACGTGATAGCCAGTGCACTGAACCTGCCTATGGGTTGTAAAACCTCAGAGGTTTTTCCAGTGAAGATGGCAAAAATCCAGTTGGTTACTGCGTGAGTCAGCCTGAGGAGTTCAGCCTCAGAGCCTGTGCAGCCTGTCCAAAGAACAGCCATAGGATAACATCATTTCAGCTCACTGTGGTCCAGGTGCTGATGTTTGTGCACATCTCCTTCTCATCTCAGCCTGCCATCCCACTGCTCTGCTCCCATGTGACAAACAGCTTCAAGAAAGTAACATCCCTGGGGCTATCTCTATTTGCAGCAAGAGATCAACGCTGAGCAGCTAACCCGACACTCACAGAACAGCTTCCCTCCCCCAAACCACGCAAAAAGAAGAGGGCATGTCATTCATCTTTGCAGGACAAAGCTGTTATCAGAGACTTGTTTGCTCATATTGTGGAAAAGCTGCTTCGCCTTTCCCACAGCACAACCCAGCAATAATTATCATCACATCTGTGCGATAGGAAGATCCAATAATTAACCAAAGAGGAGTTCTTAAAGCTATAGTGGCTGCAAAAAGTAGTAAGTTTTATAAAATGCAGAGCTTCTACGCAGACTTCATGCCTAATTGCCATTATCTGCATCTATATGTGTCTGTTACCCAAACGCAGCTGCTACAGCACACTTGGTTAATGCAGATCAACAAAACAGCGCACCAAAAATACCTCTACCCCCAGTGAAAATCAACAAAACAAGGAGCACTTGATTAACAGGTGTTGCTTTTTCCCTGGTTGAAACTGAATTTCTGTGTAAACTGATGTTTTCAGAAGTGAAATCTCTTGTCAGAGATCCAGTCAGAAATCCAGTGTCTCCTGGAACAAAACACAACAAAACAGGACTGCGAAGACGAAAAATCAGACTTTGGGCTCCAGCTGAACAAAAGCAGGAAGCGTTTACCTGGGGGATCCCATAAAGCTGCTGAGCACCCGGTGCTGTTTGGATTACAAAGCAATTCCACGGCTCTTCCCACAGGGCCATTTGCGATTGGGAGTTGGTTGGAAACGCGACGCCGCTATGCAAGCTGTGTTACTATAAGGATCCAGACTGCACTACCATCTGCTGACTGCACTACCTTCTGCTGCCAGCAATGCTCATTCACATTCAGGAAGTTGGGAAGTTCTGTCCCTCCTACCATTTCTTTCTGCCTTTGGAGCACCATCTCGGCTCTTGCAAATCAATAAAACTGATGCAGCGCTGAAACCAAGCCTACCCATTCACCAAGGCAGATCGTAAATTAGTTAGCCTTCATCCTGGAAGAAGTGGCACATCTTACGGATGCCACAAACCATGCAGTGAAAGATGAATCACACACAGATTCAGAACAGGAATCTACACAGAGGCTCTCAGCAGTTAAGTATTCTTGAGGCAACCACCTCAGTTCATCTATGGTCCCTCCTACCTCACGTGCAGACTATTTCAATTCTAAACGCATACCGAGTTTTGGGCAAATGGTATTTGTGTCAGACAGCCTGCTTTCAGCACCTTCCAGTTTATTAGCACTGCAAACCACCTTGTTCAGCAAAAATAAGGGAAATGCAGCTGTTCTAAGTCAAGACCACTGCAAGCTGCTGCTTCTGATCTGAAAAAGCCACTCCAAAACCACACACTGGGAGCTCAGAAGCATGTAATTAAAAACACCGTCTGCTTCCCCCACCTCATTTCAGACCCAACCAAATGCATCTTTTGTCTGAGATGACTTACGAGCCCAGTGCACTGCACTCCGCAAGGCCATCTGTCTGGGCGACCAGCTGCAAGGCACGCAGTTAGCAGACCAGTGGACCAAGGGAAAAAAACAAACAACCGAGGGCTGCTGGGTTGGTTCAGCTGCCACAATGCAGCAGCCATATGGCCGCTCCACTCATCGCCAGGGAGTCAAACGCAGTGAGACAGATCAGGGAGCGGGAGAAGGGGCAGAAACTGGGGCGCTGTGACTAGTGAGGGTCATGGAGCAGGGAGGATGCAGCTGAATGCTGGGAAGGAGGGCACACTGACGCTTGGTAGGGCATCCTAACTTGAAGAGGAGAGACTGAGAGCAAGATTTAGCAATCCAGACAGTTAGGAATATTTTTCACCTTAGGCAAGACATTCAGTGTTGAGAACGGTCTTCGTTGTTGGGATTGTTCAGAATTTGCATCTCTGGCCTCTCCAATGTATTCCCTTTGACTTTATGCAAATCAGAATAACGCAAATAAGAACAACGCGTTACATCTTCTGAGTCAGAAGCTTCAGGTAAGGTAGCTCGGCACTCGGCAAACAAGGACAAGTGCTTGCTTTTCTCAAGCCAGGGTAAGCTTTTACATATTTATATTCCAGTGGTGAAATGCTAATCTGAGTAATGCAGGCCACTAAAACTGCTACTCCTTACCTAGTCTGAGCTCGCCAAAGTTCCCACACCCAATCTTCTTGCCCACTCTGAAGTTGGGTCCCACCATAAGAACACCAGAAGACGCAGATGAGCTCGGCCGGGAGCCGTGACTGCTCCTCCCTGGCATCCCTTTCGTCGTCCGCTGCCTTTCATCCTTTTCCCTATTGGGATGGTCCATGATCTTAGTAAAGCACCTCTGCCAGCAAGCTGGCAGAAAGGGAGGTGAGCGTGCACTCTTCTCCTTGGAACAGAAATCTATATATAATCCAAAGGTATCTCAGTCAGGATCCAAGAGTATCGTGGAAATGCATGGAGTTCTTTTGGCACCGTATCCAGTTTCTTAATGCATCATTATGAAGTACCAACCAGTCGATTGTGATCTTGAGGACTCAAGGCAAGCTGCTTTTGGTTTCTCACCTGGGGAAAAGAAAAATGATAAGTAACATAAAAATCATTATTTTAAAACAGAAAGCAAAAGTGCACAACATGGCAAACCTCCAGCATCTTCTGGAGCTATTTAGCTCTTGAGGAAATTAACAGCTCCGTAGGAACTTTATCATTTCTTAACAATTTCTGATTAAGAACATCACGATAAGAAGTGCTGCCCGTCCACCGCTTGCTATTGGAGTTAGCAGGACTGGCACCACATATTTAAAGTTATTTCCAGGTGGAAACTGCATGGCAATCGTGCCTTATCTTTCAAGCCACTGGGAAGTGTAAAGTACAAAGAGAAATCAAACATCTGTGAACTATCACACAAGCAATATAAAGAACAGAAAGCAGCAAAGGTGCCAAGAGAAAAATACCCTTACGTGCTTATAGCTACAGGCATCTACCACACTGAAGAGTCAAATTCTACTTTACAACTCTTAAAGATAACCCCCAACATATTTGCTGATTGAAATCAGCATATTTGACAGATGACCAAAGAGTGGATAGAGGCAACATTATTTAAAAAAAGCTACAAATTTGCCAAGAGCTGTCTGAGCATACAGACCACTGCTGTAACATATCCACGGAAAGAAGAATTCTCTTCTGCGGCCAGATGAAACTCCTACCACTCAAAAGGGAAACCCTAAAGTCTCTGCAGCACAGCACCAGCAGTGGCGGGCAACCCCAGATGCTCAGCAGGACGAGCAGAAGCAGCATGCTGGGGGGTTGTAGTGCAGTTCTTAAACAAGAAATTGCTACTACAATGAGCACACCTGGAAAAGTCCTCCACCTCACAGGACCTACACACACACTGGTTGAGTTCCTTTACAAGACATCAGTGAACTGCAAGTTCTCCAGAGGCGATACCTGAATGACTTTGGAAACAAGGCCTGTGCCCTACTTCTGTGCGCATGGTGAAGTTCCATTGTTTGTATGAAGGCTGGGAAACACCACCAAGGTGAGCAGAGACACTGCATGAAAGCAGCCAGCAAGAGTCATAGTAGGAGCACATCAGCAATAGAACGCTGCCAGGTACACCCAATAATCCAACAGTATTTATGAGGGTTCAAAAGTTACTAAGGAAACAGGCTCAGTCCTCCTGCAGTAATAATACCTTGGTTGCTCTAAGAGTAATGTCTTCTATTTACTTCAGTAGAATCACAGACTCATGGCCTGGGTTGAAAAGGACACAATGCTCATGTAGTTCCAACCCCCTGCTGTGTGCAGGTCACCAACCAGCAGCCCAGGCTGCCCAGAGCCACATCCAGCCTGGCCCTGAATGCCTGCAGGGATGGGGCATCCGCAGCCTCCTTGGGCAGCCTGTTCAGGTGTGCAGCTCCAGGAACTACAGCAGATATAAAGAGCACAGTAACACAGACTTCCAACACTCTCAGCCATTAGCTGTGCACTTTTGGCAGGAGTGAATGAGAACCCGCACACCCTACCTGTAAAAGCCCGCACCAGCAGAGGTGGCCCACTGTTTCACAGCTGCTGTGACAGTATCATTACCAGGAAAATGCTGCCCACACAGCCCATTCTGAACAGATGGAAGTCAGAATGCACCAAGTCCAGACTATACGGTGGGTGCGGTAGAACAGTGCAGCCAAGATCAGCAACGCATTCACAGTCTTTAAACTGGAAGGAGGCCTGGTGCCATCGTGCTGCAAGAGAAAGCTCGACTTCTCCTCTGCCTCCTCCAGCAAGTCTGAGCCTTCAGCTCAGTCAGTTCCCTGACGCTGAGATCAGAGTTGATACTTTGTCCAGGCTGCAGGAAATCCAGAAGGGTCACTCCTTTTCTAGAAGACAGGGCATGGAGGAATTCAATTCCACCCTTTGCTCCATCTGCACTTCCATGTCAGACACCATTCTGTCAGCGCCCCTCTGCTGACACCTGTCACAGCAACAACACGTGATGGAAAAATGGTGAGAAGGCTCAGCTTCTACTGCCACAGCACCCACGTCAGCCTCTGACATCATGGGCCAGCATCGCCAAACAAGAGGCACGACTTTCAGAGCAGCCCTCATACATCAGAAGGCTATTTTTCAGAGAATTTAGCAGTGTTTTTCTTGGCTGTTTCATGAGATGAAGCCAACCCACCTACTTCCGGCCCTCCAACACTAAAAGACAGGAGTTATTACCCATTCACAGAGCAGTGGAGCAGAACAAAAGCATTAACTCCTTTGAAATATGAGTACGTTCTCCCTAACCTTCAATTGTGGTATACATTTGTTTCTTGAAACTCTTGTTTTGATCTGAGGCATCTGTACACAAGGCAGAAGTCACTCACGAGAGATGCAGAGCACGCGGGCAGCAAGCTAACAGTTGGTAATCCCAGCTTCTGAACACTGAACTAATCTTTAGCACAACCCCAACCTTCTCTGTTGCCATTAGCAGTTCCACAGGATGGCAGAAAAGAAAGCACAGCTCTCCAGAGTGTGAGCTCCCTCCCTAGATCTGAAAAGTTTCTGCAAAAGAGCCAAGACTAAATCAAGTTGACATGCAACTTTAACAACACTTTGTAATTATTCCACACTGCTTTTGTCCTTGTGTTGCTGGGGGGCTCCTATACAGACAGGAGGTTTGCAGGACCTTTAGGAAGACAAGCCTTCCTAAGGTGCTGGTTCCTCCACAGTGTATTTGAAAACCTCCAAGATTGAAGAGGAGCCAGTAAGAGCAAATAACCATCCACACAGATCTGCTTCATGCAGGATGAGTGCCACAAATACACCCATCTTTCATTGTGATTTTGCTAACGCTAAGGGCCTTGTTCAGGTTGCACAGGTTACAACCCACAGGACGTGGCAGGTAGCCGTGACTCAGCGGCCTGTGAAAACAGGATGAACTCTCACCATCTCCTTGTTCAAAAGTGCACTGCTGCAGAAAACACCAGGCAGCATGTCTGCAGCAAGCACAGCAGGTATGAAAATCATCGGGTCATCCGAGAACAGTGGCAGCGTGGCCATTCTACACCAAGCAGCACCTAGGAGGACCCCGTGAGTGGGGTTCAAACAGCCCATCACCATCAGCACCACTGGATCGTTAGGAGAGAAGAGCCGGAAATGTTCACCTACAAGAACTGCAATGCTCAGCATTACCAGGCCTCACCTCTACCTCCAATACAAGTAATTCAAGCTTTAATGCTTAAAACATGAATTACCAGGAAGCATTTGACAGAGGCAAGCAGAATGAGACACTTCTTCATCACATAACCCCAACACTCTAAAGCAGCAGCGTTTATTTTGATGACGTGAGTTATCACCATGTCTCAAATCCGCCTGCCTGGGTACGAGGAGTTTTATTTGTTTTGTGACATCAGCTTCCAGAAGCAGGACGACGCTCTCGTATCAGCAGAGCGCAGCAACCAGACCCCACCCCAAGGTGTCCCAGGAAAAGATTTGCTCCAAAAAGCAACCCACAAAGCAACGGATGGTCATTGAAACTCAGGAAGTTTATTTACTTCTGAAAAGAACTCAAATGTGCAAGGATGAAGGTGCGCTTTGAAGGCTAAACCCGAGATCAGAAAGATGAGTAAAACTGAAATCCCATGAATGAAAAGAGGAAAATGCAGTGGATGCTGTCAAGCTCAGAAAGCACTGCTCTCCTGCAGGCAGAACCATAACTCACTGAGGTTAGAAAACTCATGGACAGCAGCTGCAGATTTCACAAAAGGATATCAAAAAGAAGTATCCAAACAAGAGCTACCTTCCCATTTCACAGATAGAAAACAAACAACACCAATGCCCAGCATTTGTGAGACATGAAAGGCAGCATGGATTCGTAAACTGGGAAGATCACAGAATGGCCAGGGTTGGAAGGGACCTCAAGTATCACAAATCTCCAACCCCCTGCCACACGCAGGGCCACCAACCTCCACATTTCACAGCAGCCCAGGCTGCCCAGGGCCCCATCCAACCTGGCCTCCAACACCTCCAGGGGTGGATGGGGCATCACAGCCTCTCTGGGCAGCTGTTCCAGCACCTCCCCCTCTCATAGCAAAGAACTTCCCCTGACATCCAACCTCAATCTCCCCTCCCTCAACTTCAAACCACTTCCCCTCGTCCTGCTGTCATCTCCCCTTTCCAAGAGTTGATTCCCCTCCTGTTTGTAGGCTCCCTTTAGGTACTGAAGGTACACTGAGGTCACCCCGCAGCCTTCTTCTCTCCAGGCTGAACAAGCCCAGCTCCCTCAGCCTGTCCTCGTAGGGGAGGTGCTCCAGTCCCCTGATCATCTTCATGCCCTCCTCTGGACCCTCTCCAACAGCTCCGTCTTTTTTGTACTGGGGGCTCCACGCTGGGACGCAGTGCTGCAGATGGGGCCTCACAAGAGCAGAGTAGAGGGGGATAAAGATATTATTAAGAAGTGGGGTAATAGACTTGGAAAGGAAAAGGCAAAATCCGCAGGGTGGGAGCAGGTTACAGTGAAGGAAAGAGAAATTTTGGATACATCACAAGTTAATCTTCTTTAAAGACTTCCACAGTCAGCTAAGGGTTACATAGCCAGTAAGAAGAATACAGAGTCAGAATAGGCTTGAAATCAGCTGAAAGGACTTCACAACTGCGGCAAACATCAGATGGCCTGGGCTGCCCAAGAACACATTCCAGGTCATCATATTTTGCTGCTGGATACCAGAAAGCATTTAAGCTTCATTCTGCCCTCTCCAGCACAGAGCATCATCGACTGCCTACCCACAGAGCTCTGCATCCCGATTCTGGGGCAGCTCTGCAGCAGAACCTGATGCCTTGGCACAGATCTTTTCCAAGTGCTTGGCTACCTGCTGGCAAAAATAGCAACAATGCAAAACAGCATTTCACCAGTAAAGTGGAGCTGAAAGCCACCAAAAGGCAAAGAGACACAGCTCACCACGTTTCAAACAGCTGATAATTGAGTTGGCTTCCACTTCCATCTGCTGCTCAGTCACTGCTGTGGGACACAGGACTGTGGCTCCTGTGACTCTGCGAGCCCTTCTGCCTTGCCCCACAGCCTT